CACTTTCTACAAGTGTCTTTTCAGGTGACATGTGGTAACTAGTGGCTTGTCCTCAAGGGTGAATTCTGAATATGCCTCCACAACTCTGAACAAGCATGGATCTGGTAAAACACCCATCATCCCTCTGTAGACTCCACTTCTGTAAAGAGATGTTTAGCATGAGAATTGTGTGTGCTGAGTAAACTACAGTGATGGACTGCTTTAGTCAGTCTTGATGACTGCAGCGCCACACAGTACCATCTCAATCAAGAACCTGCTGTGTAACTGGATATTGCAGGTGTACTTCACTAAAATCACAACATTATCATACTTTTTTAGTTTTTCTGATAGATGTACTTCCAGAATTCTAGAGGCTTTCATCAATGAACCATATTCTTTTGTACTACAAAAGTGACGTGTGGTCAAGAATGGTGTCCTATACTCAGAATTTGTGCTCTGTATTTCTCTCTCACACACACACACACACACAGTGAACAAACACACACACACCACACTCACACACACACACACACACACACATACACACACACACACTCACACAACACACACACACACACACACACACACACACACACAGTGAACACACACACACACACACCACACTCACACAGTGAACACACACACACACACACACACACACGGTGAACAAACACACACACACACACACACACACCCAGAGCAGTGTGCAGCAAGGGTCTCATCTCAGTCGTGGTTGTCATTCACTCGCCCACCTACAACTCAAACTCGTAATGAGACTCGAACCCATGACCTTTGGGTAACAAGTCTGACATTCTAGCCATTAGGCCACGACTGCAAATGCTCAAATAAAAGAACATTACCGCTGAAACATATCAAACACAGACCACACTATTCTTTATAGAAGACAGATCTATTACTTTTCTGTGAGTATCTGTCAGTCATGAAAATGATGTTTGTAAACCAATTTCCAATAACTGAAACATGAGATCTTAACCATATTATAATTTCAGCACAAATGATATACTGCCAATTTTAATAAAGTTAATCTGGGGAAATGTAAATCACATTTATATAAATAACGTTTAGAAGAAATCATTTTAATGAAAGATTTGACCATTCAGAGTCAAAATCCAGCAACAGTATAATCCTTCACAGGCACAGTCCTCTAATGAAGTTCACTTTCACCAAATAAAGCTGAGGTTTGATTTATTGCCTTTATGTTCTGGCGAGAAACAAGAAGCGGGACAAAACAGGGTGCAAAATTGAAAAAATACAACCTTGTACTCAGGCAAATGAAACTACATTTATGTGTCGTATATGTACTCAGCTACTGAGCTATGCTTTGATACAACCTCCCAACCTTTCTCTTTTGTAGCTTGGACTGTGTAATATAATTTCAGCTTTATCTTTAACAGCATTCAAGATGTTTTAACATTTCAAAACACATTCTGGTGTTAGCAGACAGATTAGACTTTCACATGTGACCAACAATTCCTCAACAAATATCAAATATCATAAATATTATCAAAATATTCATCTGACGGAGGTGACAAAAACCTGAATTTGTAGTCGCTGTAACAATCAAATACATTGAATCAGTCAATTACTGTATTAAACACAACAATCAGGTGCTAAATACATTTAAAATGGAAAATATTTGTATTTTTAAAGCTAATAGCAGTTACCCTGGCTGG